GGACCTTCTAGAAATAGAGGTCTCAACTCAGAGCCATCACTTCAAAGCTCCAAGTCTATTCTTGTCCTCCCACAATGTGGCTTCTGCCTCCATCACTCCAGGAAACTGGGCCAGCTGCCTCCCACTTCCCAAGTCCGAGGGGCACTTCCCGGCCCCCGCCTTGCTCGGTCCCTCTGGCATTTAACACACCATCCTCTGCAGGTTCCACTTTCTGACTGTCCACAATCAGACTTCAAATGATACTAAATAACTGCCACACCTTGCCCATTTTTATCTTTAGTTCCTAATTTTATATTTCATTGCATAAACACATATGGGTATATGCCATCCAGAATATGTTATAGAAATAGCTAAGGTATAGTCTATCTAATTTTTTCAGTGGTTCTTAAATAACCCCCCCCCCAAAAAAAAAAATACTCTTTGAGAATTAAATTCCAGAAAACATGTTTCCTTGAGGAACTAGCATATCATCCCCCAAGCAATGAAACTCAAAAAGTAATTCCCAGAAAGCTTGAAATAGGGAAATTGATCATGTCAGCCCTTGTGGAGAGTACTGACTAGAAATAGCCACAAAGGGAGAGCCTGTAGTGTGAATTATGTCCCACTTCTTGCTCTGGATGCTGGTGAGTGTGTTCAGTTTATAAAAGGTATGGATCCATGTAATCATGATATAAAAAATTCCAGGATGGTTACATTTTTAAAGGAATTGCCTTTTACTGACCAGGAAGTTGGGATCAGATGGGTGACTCAATTTTATTCTTATACACCTGTTGGCCTTTATTTACGCATTTTATTTTTTCTGACCTTGCTCTTCTATTCTAAATTGTATTTTCTTTAGTACAGAATTTTTATGCTTGCTTTACAATTATATTTTTTATATCCCTACTACATCCAAAATGGTTTATGGAAGTAGAAAAGGTAGAAATAAATAGATATTCTTTCAAGTAGATAAAGTCTATTTTTTGTGTCGACATCCTTCTTGCCTGGCATATAGTAGTTATTTAATTAATATTGAAAGAAAGAAACGTTTATCTGTAGAGGAAAAGAGAAAAATAGGGTAAAAGCAATGGAGCACTTAGGAGTCAAGAACAGGTTATTTTTAAGATGAGAGCCATCTGAGCAGGTGCCCAAGGAGGTGGAAGAAACCAGGAGACAGGGATTAAGTTGAAAGTGGGGAGGGTGATTTATGAATCTCGTTCCTAGGAGAGGAGAGGCGATGGAGTACAGGAAGGGGGTAAATTGTCTTAAACAGAAGAGACACTGTTCCTCGGCTCTGCAATTGGCTTCACCTCCTCTCTTTAACCTGTAAATAGTTGTATTGCCTTAAAATCCAGTCCTTCGTCTTCTCCATCCATAACTCACCTTCTGGTGATCTCATCTGAAACAGCTTTAAACACCGAGTGTGCTCTGATGGCTCCTATGACTCTGTTATCCAGCCCAGATCTCTGCTATAAACTCGGGACTGCCTACTCACCATCTCTGCCAGAATGCTCAAACCCTTCTTGAAGTTAACAGGAGGAACACTGAATTCCTCATCTTCTCCCAAACCTGCTCTACCCCCAGTCATCCCCATTGGAGGCCAAAGAAGCTTGAGTCATCCTTGACTCACCTCTTTCTCTCACACAACTATCCAATCCATCAGCAAATTCCGTTGCCTTCATCCGGAAGGAAGGAAGGAAGGAAGGAAGGAAGGAAGGAAGGGAGGAGAAAAATTTTAAAAATCCGGATTCCTAGCACTTTTCACACCTCCACTGTCCCCCCTGGTCTAGGCATATGCCCTCACACTGGGGGTTTTTATGTATCTCCTAACTGGCCTTCTTGCTTCCACCATTGACACCTACAACCTTTTCTCAGCACAGTAGTTAGAAGAACCATTTTTAAACATCTCTCCTGTGTTCCCAAGTGCACTTGACTCTTGCTGGTCATAGCCTCTACCCGTCTCCCAGGGGCGCACTGTCCACTCCCGGCCCCTGCTCCGGACAGAGCTGTTGTCACTCTCGGGCCGGTACCCCCACCCTGGAGCCAAGGACATCCTAGTGAATATTAGGTGGCAGTGGTGGTATTTGTTGTTATTATTATCATTATCTTGATACATATTTATTAAATCAATGACTTCCCCCAATAGTAGCGGCTATAAACAGACAGACTTATTGGTTAATTGATTGATATATTGATTGAGTTGTTCTACGCAGCAGAGAGACAGGGAACGTGCCTCCTTCCAACTAGAGCTGTTTTCTCTCTCCAGAGCATGAGGACGGGAAAGCAGCTCGTGGCTGAGGAAGGCAGTGGTCACCTGGACTCTCCTCGGCAGCCAGCCGGGCCCCAGGAGCGCTCCAGGAGCCCACGGGCACTGTTTTTTATTACAGTTCTCAAGAGGATATATTTTAGCCCGAATGTATTACAGTCATGGGACTCTTTGATCTGTCTGGCTCAGTTGTATTTCTTAAATGAATTGAGGGAGAAGTGGTTTCGCTTAGTCATTAAAAATCACCTATGTTGAAGGTTAAATGTCCACAGACCTTCCTGTGTAGATGTTTTCTGCAGTTTCAGCCCCACACTGGGTCCTGTGCTAGCCATCAGGAGGGGCTGATGGCACGGAAGAGGTGGCCCCTGCCCCAGAGAAGTCAGGGTCCAGGGCCCGTGAAGGAGCCATTGGACCTGTTTAAATGGTTCCACCCTCCCCGTTAAGGTTTACTTAACACAAGGCAGATGCAAATGGAAGAGGGAAACATTATTTTGGGTCTTCTGTGTGCACAGACGTTAGCTAAATTACTCCATTTGGTCCTGACAACTTCACCACATTACAGATGAAGAAACTGAGGCTCAAAAGATGACTAGGTAACCGGCGTGGGCCACACCCAAGCACGGGGAACTGAGAGGCCAGCGAAGACCTGTCCTTCCCCCACGGCCATGCCCTTCCCACTCCAACACCCTGGTGATGGGAGCACCGCCAAGGCCTCAGAAAGAACACCCGAAACCACAAAGCCACCACGTCGCCCGGTCTAAGCCGACTCCATTAGGATCTACTTACAGCTCCCTGCGAGCCAGCAGCCATCCAGTAAATTAAAAACAAAACACATACATACATCATTAAGCTGCAAAGGAAAATGGACACAAAGGAGCAGTCTACTCCTTTCCTCACTGTCCCCGGATCCCACCAGGCCAAGGACATGGTCACACAACAGTGACATCACTCGGCCTCTCCCTGCCTGGGCAGGGGTTCTGTGCAGCCCCGTTTCTCTGGGCGGAAGGAGGCGTTGACTCTTGAGCAATAGCACCTGCCGAGGCAGGGGCCCAGGACGGTGGGTTCCCCAGAGGGTTGGGGACAAGAGCTATCTAGAGAGGAGCTCCCGGGTTGGGCCCTCTACCTATGAGCTCAGGTCACCCTGCTTCCAGGACCACAGTCCTACTCACATCCCAACCCCCGGCGTGAGCCGGACCCGCACTGAGCCAGCCACAGACCTGCTGCCGGGAAGCAAAGCTGGAGGAGCGCACCCGCCCAGAATGCCGCCTCCCACAAGCCTCCTCTCCTCATTCTGCTTCCCTCTTCCTGCCTCCCGGTGGCTCCGGGCCCCAGGCTGCCTCCCTGGGAGCCTATCCCGGAGTCCACCGATGGGTACGGTGGTTAGGAATCCCAGCATGCTGCGCCTAGTCCCCTACCCGGAGCCACAGCTGAGAGTTCATTATTCTGAGACTTGGAATCACACAGAACCCGTGGCATCTGGGAGGCAGACATGCTGGCTTCCGGGACATTCATCAGAGAAAGTTCCCAGCCTTATGCTAGCTGGGGGGTTGGAAAGGGTTCCGCTGCACACACCCTCACTACTGTTTGTGTAAACAGCTCAGGACCCGCTGGCAGTAAGTTTGGGGGGAAATCCCCGCTCCTGTGAGCTGTGTTTTGGCTCAGATCCCACTCAAAGCTCGAACGGCAATGCTCATCGCCCACCGTGTTTGAAAGCCCCTGGGAAAGTCGGTCAAAGTGCTTTCACTCCCAAGCCGCTCTCCTGGGGGGCCAGGGGGCAGGCTGGAAGCCTCCTCTCAGGGCACACGGACCCTCGCTCTGGGCCATGGGGACTGCCACTCAGGCGCTGAAAATGGCTCCGCTGCCTCCGCCAGGCCTGGCTTTCAGGGACATCTGTGAAGTCGTGTCAAGCTGACTGAGGGGAGACCTCTCCTTCGGGTGAGACTCGAGGGGAGCATTTCCCCAGGAGGAAGCCGTGGGGGCTAACACAAATCAGGGTTTGCAGAGAGATGTTCTCTGGGCTCCAGTACAATTTGCAAAATGCAATGTACAATAAAATAAAAAAAAAAAGAAGAAGAAGAAGAAGATAAATCTCTCCCTCTCTGCCAGGCTAGAGCAGATTCCTGAATAAAAACAACTCTTTGCAACAGAACCTCAGACTCGCCTGGAAGTGAGTTTCCTCAAAAGGCACGGGGAAAGGGGCAGGAATTCCTGAAATCCTGCAGCAAGCCTGTCACCGAGCAGCCTTCAGAGGACAGGGGAGGGGAGCTGGGGGACAGGAGCTCCTGCCGGGACAACGCACGGCACGGAGAGAAAGTTGTACGCAGCGAGTTTCCCAATAAGGGGCACAGCCGCACAGCCATCTTCAGACCGACCGAGAGGCAGCTCATTGATTCCAGGAGCCAGTCAAGTCAGGGTTATGCCCTTTTCATTCTAGCCTGAGGGGAGGGACCCGGCCAGGAGGGAATGGGGTTGCATGATCCCAGCTTGAAGGAACATCTTTCCTGGCTCCTCCAAGCCCAGGGGGCAGCCAGGACCGAAGCGAACACATTGGGAGCTCCCTCCAGACCCCCGGCCCCTCCCCTTCCTCAGAAACCCATGAAAACTTGATTTGTCTCAACTAAACACAAGCTGGGAGGTTGACGAGGAGGCAGAGGGGAAGAGGGGAAGGAAGGGGGGCCAGGCAGCATCCATGCAGTCGGTTGTACTATTGATTTCGAGCCACAGAAGCCCCAGAGTGCCATCATAAGGATCATACCTCCTGCTGATCTCGGGGGAAATTCTCCAAGATCCATGGCTGGGAGTTAAGGAGAATCTCTAAGCCTTCAGGAAGGAGCAGAGAGAGCACTGCAGCTCCTCAGAATGATGGACCAGGGCGAGCTTTAATTAACAGGGTCTGGTGCCTCTTCTTTTTTGGTAACTGAGCAGATTTAAAGGGCTAGAGTCCCAATTCGGAGGGTGCCGGTGCTGCTCTTGCTGCTGCCGTGGCTGCTGCTGGAACAGCGTCCTGCAGCCCTCCCTTCAGCAGGGAGACGGAGCTGTGAAGGTGGAGAAGTGCAGGCGGGAAGGTCGTGGCTGCACAGTAGGAATCAGAGCCACAGGGCGTCCGTGGTCCCCGTGCTGCCTCCTGGGGCAGCGAGAAAGGCGGCCTCCTTGGGCGCGAGCAGCTTCGGGGACACCCTCCCCAGACTTGGAACTGATGGACGGTGCCCCAGGACAGAGTGGTCTCTGCTGTGCTCCTCTCCTGGGAGCACCGCTGGGTGACAGCCACCATGTAAGCTGCATGCACACGTGCCTCCCCTTAAACACACATGTAACGTCTGCCCATGTACCTACCTACTTACCCATGTACCTACCTACTTACCCATGTACACATACATATGCTTGTCCATGTGCACCTACATGCCTGTCCACGCACATACACATGCCCACCTTCCAAACACCCAGATGCAAAGTCGCGTGACCTGCAGCCAGCCAGACGCCCTCCCCAGGTGCCTGTGTGTGTGACAGGTGGAGTGCCGAAAGGAATGGCTGTGACACAGAGCCCGCCAGGAGGGAGGACACACATGTGTCCCTTCCCTCCTGAGCCTGGATGGTCTCGTTAGAACAGCAGCTTTACGCTAAACAGCAACGCTCTCAACAGAAAGAGGAAGCAAAGGTCGAAACACAGACCTCAGAAAGCTTGTTCTGAACTTAACCAAGTCTTGGCTCGTGGGGACAGACACCACAGAGGGCGTGCAAAATCGTCCCCAAGGGCCTCGGAGTGAGCCAGGGATGGAGTGGGGCACACACTCACCCGATCCAGCCTCTGCTCTGAGAGGCAGGGCCTGCGTGCAACCCACGCAGACTGACCAAGGTCACAGAGAGCCCTTTCCGGCTGACCTGAGGCAAAGTCACCGAGCAAAGCCGTCTGTCCCCTCCTTCCCCGCAAAGCTCTTTGTGCCCACTTCACCCTTGCCTGGCATCTCCCTCCCCCCTCCGATGCCAGAGTCCTCACATCCACTGGCAATAAAAACCTTGTCAGCGGAGAATCTGCCATCGCCCATTGAGACATCAGCTCAGTGTAATTTCCTGTCTCCTTCTCCCAGAGAGGCGTGCGTATGGCACCCTCTCCCGCTTCAGAAAGTGCATAAGGACAACGGTGAGCTGGGGGCTGGCTGAGGGGGAGATGTGTGCCTGACACAACACGTTCCCAGACTCACCACCCCGGAGCCCCCCCCCCCCCCCCCCCCCCGCTCCTCATGGGCATCTCCCAGGAAGGTGGACTCTGGGGTCTGGAGAGGCTTGCCTGGCAGAGATGGCAAAGAACCACTGGACAAGGAAACATCTGGAGGGAAATTCCAAGCTCTGTTCCTACTGCCTGCCCCCAAATCCTTGGGATCTCTTTTCCAGTTTCACGAATCAAGTTAAGTCAGTCCCACAACTCTCAGACTGACAATGAAGACAATATTCACGCGGGAAAGAACAACAGCCTGGCCGCCTTTGCTTAGGAAAAATGGAGGTCTCTCTCCACGTTACCACAGCTGACGCCAGGATGGCCTGGAGGGCCCTGGAGAGCTGGTCCTGGGACCCTCCATGGGCCTCCATGCCCCGTAAGTCTTTCCTCCACTCTCTCTGGAGGCTCCTCAGTACAAAGAGCTATGAAGCCAGAAGCAACAGAAAAGCTGGTGGCTTACTCAGCTCTGCCTCAGCCCCGGCTGAGTAAGGGAGAGAGAGGCTGACTGCCACATCCACCACCAAGAAGTGCCCTTGAGAGCGTTCAGACCTCTCCAAGGTCAAACCAAAGAGACCACACCCAGAGAGAAGCAGGTGTTCCCTCGCCTCCAGTCCAAGGTCCCCTGTCGGCACCCCTTTAATAATGACCCGCCTCTTCTCCTGTGATTGACAAGTGGGAACATCCAGCTCTTCATTCCTATCTGCGGGAGCTTAACTTCATTGGACTTGTACCAGATAAGCTTATCAGAATACCACTCGGGAGGCCTAATCTCCGTTTAAGGTAGGTCTGATTTGTGGGGCCTTGAAAGGAGCCTGTCCACAAATCTGCTTTTGCAACTCTGGTTATTCTCTGTGCCCCTTCCGCTGGCTTCCTGCTAGTTCAGCCAAACGGGGACTCAGAGGGAGGAATGCCGCAGAGGATCGCTTTGGGACTTCCTGCTATCTAAGACCAGCCTCACTGCACCCCTTCAACAGCCAGCACCAACTTTGCCCTGGTAATAGCGGTGCTGGCAGCAACTAGACTATGACCCTCGGTGGTCAGGCCACCAGCCATGCCCTGGTCCACCCCGGACCCTCTGCCCCTCAGCATGGCAATCCTGCTGGGTTGACGGCTCCCTCAGGGGTTGAGCATTAGCCCCCTGAGGTCCCTCCTAGGCCAGATGAGACCACTTCTTCTCTTTTGTTTCCCTAGGGCTGGGGACAGAAGCTGTTCTGCAATTATCCATTGTTGGTTATTTCCCACTTTGCACGTCCAGTGTAACTAATTCTCTGCCTAAACGCCATCTGTTTGAAACATGGAATGTGGTTTGTTTTCCTGACTGGACAAGAATTTTCCAAATTGGAGTGTTCTAATAGTCATGATCAGGCCATAATCAGAACATTTTGGCACATGTCACATATTTTGTCATATAAGTGTTAACAGATTACAAGAACTTACAAGAGAGTAAAGTTTTTTAAGATCATTCGGCAGGTCGGAGCCCATTGGCACATTCTTATAGTACGGATTTGTTACTTATTATACCACATTTGCAAATATCAAAAAGAAAAGGGAAAAAAAGGCTCCCAGACTAAATTTAGATCAAAACAAAAGAATTCTAAGGCATAATTGAGGAAGTCAACTTCGAGAGACCTGAACTGAATGCCAGCCCGGCAGGGAAGAACTCTGGGTAGCGTGCACATTACCATTCTGCTTGTTATTTAGCTGTGTTAGGGGCATCAGGTAAACGTTAATACATTTCACTAATATCTTACGACTTGGGCAATGTAGGATATTAGGCAATTGGAGAGCCTAATTCATCTCTCATTTCATCCCCGCGGGGGTCTATGTTCTGAGAACAACCCATCGAGAATAAAGGACCCCTGGGCAGAGCCTGGACAAGGTGGCCTAGGCTAGGAGGTTTGAGGGAGGACCCTGGTGCCTTTTCCTCCACACTGAATGCCTGATGATGAGACCTGAGCGCAAGCTGTGGTCTGACATCTGCCCAGACACAGATAGAGGGGCAGGAAGGCCTGCTCTGAGCGAGGCCCTGTCCAAAGAGGGGGTGGGAGACGCTCTCTGCAAAAACAGACAGGAAGAGCCGCACAGTGGCCCTGCATGGCCATGAACTTTCTGGCTACAGGGACCAGACCCTGCCCATTCATCTAGGTCCGGGCTCTGCCTGGTGATTAGCAACCCTCTTCCTCTTGGGAGGCTGATATAGAGAGGGGCTGCAGAAAGGCAAATCACAGAGAGCAAAATCGTTCCCTCCTCTACTGGCAGGGGTAAGGATGTGGGGAGAGTGGGCAAATATTTTTGCAGGCCCGGCCAGTATGGCTCAGTGCTTGAGCGTCATCCCATGAGCCCGAAAATCACGGTTCGATTCCCGGTCAGGGTACATGCCCAGGCTGCGGGGTCAGTCCACCATGTGGGGTATGCAGGAGACAGCCGATCAATGATTACCTCTCAGCCGAAACCAGTTTGGCTCAATGGATAGAGCATCGGCTTGGGGACTGAAGGGTCCCGGGTTCGATTCCGGTCAAGGGCATGTACCTTGGTTGCGGGCATATCCCCAGTAGGGGGTGTGCAAGAGGCAGCTGATAGATAACTCTCTTTCATTGATGTTTCTAACTCTCTATCTCTCTCCCTTCCTCTCTGTAAAAAATCAATAAAATATATTTTTTTAAATGATTACCTCTCATCATTGATGTTTCTATCTCTCTCTCCCTCTCCTTTTGTCTCTGAAATCAATAAAAATATATATATTTTAAAATGTGTTTGCAGTCCTTCACATCATCCTCTTTACCTCTTTCCACTCTTCCAGGATACCACATGCAGTGGGATCCAGCGTGTGCTACCTAGAAGTCTGGCCTACTCAGTCCTTCCTCTCCATTCCCACTGCAGCTTGCTCCACTTGAGCCCTTTTATCTCTCATCTGATCTCCTGCAAGAAATTTCTAAATGAATCTCCTACCTCCCTCCGTTCATAAATACTTCCCAGTGTCCTGCTAGGCACCAGAGATATGGTGGCAAACTGGGAAGAGGAAGCCCAGCCCTGGAGGAGCTCAGGGGCTGGCAGAAAGACAAACGTCAAACAATTGCAAAGGAGATAAGGACAAAGAACAGGACGTGCGGAGTGCCACCGCCGATTCTCATCACAGGACTGACTTACTCCGGGAGAGCCAGGGAAGGCTCCTGAAATGATGGTAAGGCTGGGACCTGGAAGATAAGTGTTGATGTTTGATGGAGCAGAGATTGCTCTCGACCGACAGAACAGGCTCTGAGGCACCAAGCAAGAGTGGAGAATGGAAGAAAGCCAAAGCCAATCAAGGAGAGACCGATTCGTGGTCAGATGAAGAAGTGAGCAGAGCGTTCGGGAGGTCTGCAGACGTCATGGTCAGGGAGAAAGGAAGCTGCTACTGAGCTAAGTTGGATTGTGACATAAAAGAGCCTTCATCCATATGGGAACGCTGAAGAATCTGCTGTACATTGAACAAGGTTTACAATTAGGTCAGTCCTTCTAAAATACAAAGCATTTGCTACCCATGGTGTCTGGGATAAAACCAAACTCCTTCATCTACCAAAAAGGCCTTTTTTATAAGCTGCGGACCCCAATCTACCTTTTCTTACCTCTCATCCCAGGGCCTTAGCACATGCTGTTCCTCCAGCCTGGAATATCCTTCTTTGCCACCCCGACGAACTCCTACTTATCCATCAAGGCCTTACTCAGATGTCACATTCTCTAGAACCAACGTTTCCCCACCACCTCCTTCTCGCA